CAAATTTTTTACATTTTTCCTTGATTTTCATTACCGATTTAGTTGGTATTAATTGCATGTTGTGTTTGTTGCAATTCAAGGTTTTCATAAAATGCTTCTAGCTTGTGCTTTCTTATTTTTTGTTGCAATTTCCATTTTATATATAAGTCTCTTGAATGGTTATTTTGGTAAATTAACTTTTTTCATCACTCAACTTAACAAAGAGGGGGTCTTTGTCAGAACCTATAAGTTCAAAGGGTCTTTATTGCAAATAAAAGTTGGGAGCAATCACCACTACCCCTAAAGGACAGGGTAGTGATTTGTAATTCACTCCCTTTTTTCTAGGATATGTTGTTTAACTAAAAGAAAATTAAAGAGTAGAAAAGAGTGTCTTCTGAGCAATACATGCCAGCCTTGTGGCGGATCTAGGACCTTTGATCAATGGGTGCATGCATTATCATAACATCAACTTAATCATAGCACTTGAGTAATTAAAACAAAAAAAAAAAGAGAATAAAATATTTTCTCTCTAAACATTTTAAGAAAAGTAAATACATCTCGCAAATGGATAATCTTTTTCTCCTAGATTTTTCTAATAATTTCAAGCATATAAGGATCTAAAAACTAAAACAAAAGGAAAGAAAATACTGTTCCTAACATATATATAGAAATAGTTAGGATGATTTTGCATAAGAAACTAGCTAGTGGTTGTAACTTGTAAAACATCAAGAGAGAAATCTCCTCAAGTGTGTTTGATTCTTCAAGAATGTTAGAATGAATAGGGATAGAAGAGGACTCTATGGTTTGTCTCTCTGATTTCCTCCTCCATATTCCAACAACCTGCTCCAAGAGTCCAATCTTCCCAACCTAAACTTGAAAAGAGAATAGATGGTTCAAATGACCCATTTAGCTTTTAGGGTTAATGTTTGTTAATTGAAGGTATAAATATGAAGGTATAAGAATCATTTCTCATTATTTCAATTTTAAATTTTAAGTAGTTCTGTGCAACAGGGGTGAAATTATTTGACACCTTTGCTTATTACCAAAAATAAATAAATAAATTGACTCCTACATTTTTATTTGAGTGGGTAAATTGTGAAAAAATTAAAAAGTTTCCATTATTATATAAAAATTTTTCAAATCTCATTGGGAACAATTGTCCACAATGACATATATATAGATCGGCCTATACATACTTGTAGATTGACCAAACACCACCACTTAATTGTGGTTCTCTACTTAGCCATCTCTTTTATAATCTTTTTCCATCTTACTAAGCTTTGCACGACTCATACCTGAATTGAATGGTTGGAAATTTGGCTCATGCTTCTTCATTTGTGTTTACAAGTATTACTTGGCTACAAAATCAAAACAAAAGTTCTTTATAATTCATGTCATCATTTTTGTGGGCTAAAATAATGTCATCATTTTTGCACTAATCCCTAGTCGGGTTAAGTGTGTAAACCCACATTAGTAGCACAAAAAAAGTGTGTAAATCCACATTGACTGTGTCGACACAAATTTCTTGTATTTAATTAACACAAAATGTGGATACAAATTACAAAATAAATTTATAAAAAAAGAAAAATACAATGGATGAAACTCTCTGTGATTCTACTCGATGACGTGAACAATCTTTTAGCCATCGAATTCAGTGAAGATAGGGACCATTGGCGTGTTTCTCGTGCTTCTCAAAGTGTTAATGTAGATTTATTTGATTTTAGCACTTTTGAAAAAATGATATAGATTTCTTCACTCTGGGTTTTGTGCTTAATCGATCACGAAGAATGCTTCTCTATGAAGGGATTTTTTTTTTTTTGTAATGGCTTGATCTTCTTGGAAGATCTTGAATCCATGTGTGAAGTAGAGAACTAATTAAGAAACTTCTTTCCTTCTTTCTTATCTCTTGATAGTAATGTAGAGTTGAAGTTTGCAAGAGATTGTGATTGCTTGCAATTCTAAAGTGTTGGTGTGAATGAATGAGAACTTCTCCAATGTGCAAGTGTGATTGTAAAAAAGAGAGCCTCTTAGTGGCTTGATCTTCTTGGAAGAGCTTGAGTCCATATGTGAAGTAGAGAACTAGTTAAAAAGCTTCTTTCCTTATTCTTTTTTCTCTCTTGATAGTGATGTAGAGTTGAAGCTTGCAAGAGCTTGTGATTGATTGCAATTCTCAAGTGTTGGTGTGAGTGAATGAGCTTCTCCAATGTGCAAGTGTGATTGTGAAAAAGAGAGCCTCTTTCTCGCTAGGCAATGTTATCTATAGCCTAGGATTGGAGTTGCCACCTCAGCCCTCAATTTGCTAACAATCCCATGTAAATGGGGTATTAGGTTAGGGTTAACTCCTAAACATGCTCCATTATGTAGAGACAATCGTTTTGCCAAAAGGACCATCATATTACAGTAATTAATGGGCCTAATTGGACTTGATACACTTGGATCATTGCGCCACATGGTCATGTTTTAATAAACTTGGGCACTGGGCCCATGGAAGCTCATATTAATTTAGAAGTACCATGCAAATTAAATCCATTTAACTATCTTAGAAATTCACATGTCTATAGGCAGATAGACATTTGAGTATATAGATTTAATTTGGTTTCCATTTTATTTAGTTGGGTTGGGTTGTTTATGGTGCAAGTTTGGGCTGATCCGAGTTAATTCCCAACTCGACCTCTTAACGTCCATATTTCCTACTTGTCCTATTTCCTTTGGCTCATTTTAGGAAGCATGTAAATACACATTATGTTTTGTGCAGTATTAGATTTATATTTGTGTACTTGCACTCTTCCCAAAGTGAGCCATCATTCATCCATAAATATTGAGTGGAAGATAATTATATTCTCTTCCACTCAATATACATATACATAAATCCCATTCTCTCTCATTAAATGCCATTATATTCACTTCAAGAAAAATGATCTTTAACAATGGTTTTTCCAGCAACGGACAAAAAACGGTTACTATATGTTCTATTCTCGTATTTAGCTTGGCCACGGTTTCATGGACCGTTGCAATACATGCTTTACTTTTGAGATGGTTATAAAGTTAACCGTTGTAATACATATTCTACTTCTGTTGAAACCGTGGCTGCATGTTTTGGCGGGTTTTTCCTCAAATTTTCATCATCTAACATAAGAAAATGAGCATTGCCCGCGCATATCTTCCTTCTTGCGCGTCTTTCTCTGTCCCTCTCTCTGCTTCACTCTTTTCATCTCTGCTTCACTCTTCCCCTCTGTTCATGCTTCTCAGGTTGTCGTGTTCAAGGAGTGAAGCGACGGTGAGTTGAAAACCCTCGGGCCTCTACTGGTGTATCTCTCTTCAAGAAACAGTGAGTTTCTCTATCCCTCTTCTTCTTCTTCTTCTTCTTCGTCTTCTTCTTCTTCTTCTCCCTCTCTCTTTCTCTCTCTCTCTGTCCTATTCATTTTTTTATGCTCACTTTGACCAGATTACAACTCTGCATTCGGTAGTGTTAAAGCGAACTCTAGGCTTAGGTTCAAAGATCGGCAAATACTCTAGTAGGTTTTTTGGATAGAAGGGGCTTATGAATCATGGTGTAGTTTCTCTGATTCAAAGATCAGAAAATACTCTAGTAGGTTTTTTTGGATAGAAAGGGCTTATGAATATGGATCTGACTTGTATTTGGGGTCTCAATGGAGTAGTTCTTTAGGCTTGGGTTAATCTCTTATGTGGTTATGTTTTGGGAGTTGAGCTAGATTATCCATGGCTAGCTCAGTTGTTTCTTTACAGTTTGAGTTTTCCTTTATTTTTTGTACTCTTTTTCTATTGTTTCAACAAATTTCTCTGGTCAGTTACTAGAAAGAAAAGGAAGAAAGAGAAACTGTTAAATCTTCCAATTCTAAAGAACTTCCTAGTTAGSCCCCATCAAACAGTATGTGGACTGTGCTTACATTCTTCCTAACGGAATATAAACTTTCCTTTATCTCTTACAAGCAAGTTTGATCCGATCATTGATAAATTGCCTTTTGTCTACTAGTTTAAGGCTAAAAACAGTTATGTTGTCTTTCCAAGTTGTTTTGGTGTCAACTGTCATTGGAGGTAATCAAAATATGCTCACTTCACAATATAATTACATTAATGATTCAAAAATAGATCATTATTGTTCTAATAGTTCCTATGGATATTCTACATTCTTCTGCATTTGCTCTTGGTTATTGGCTTTCAAAAATGCTATTTGGTGAATCCCCTTCTCGTACCATTTCTATAGAATGTGGGATGCAGGTTTTTATCTTTGTTTATAATCTGTGTATTTTCTCGTCACTTGTAACGTGTCCAATAATTTGTATGCCATAAAAGAGTTATATATGTATAATATATATATATAATATATATATATATATATATATATATATATATATATATATATAT